AAACAGACACAAAACAACAACAAAAAGACGCCAGCGAGTAACGTCAGAGTGTTACAGCAGACTGTCAGTGTACAGCTTCTTCTTCTGACAGACACATTCAGAGTGTTGATGAATTCGTTGTCTTTAACACTTGCTCAAAGTGAAGCTGACATGTAGTTATGCAGGCGTAACTGACCTGTGACCATAGGTGTGTTATTTATGTTCCTCGTGCTCTTTGTGTGTGTTGTGTTGTGTCTTTGTGCAGTATCAGGGTCAGATCAGCAGCTCCTCCTGCAGCCGTAATTACACATTTGCATGATAATGTCTGTTTCCACCTGCAGCTTGGCGACAGTGTCAGCGTGTTTAATGACATAGTTCCCTCATGTTTTGTCACATGGTGTGTGTGTGTCTCTGTGTGCACCATGTTGCTGTGTTAGGTGGCAGCGACATGAACACAACAAGAAAATCTTATCTGTTTGACTTTTTCCTTCATCTGATTTCCAGTGTGGCAGGATGAGTAAAGCAGACAGGAGGTCCCTGAACTAGAGCCTCTGTTAACATTTACTCCTCAGAAGTCAATTAAATATATAAAGATTCTACAACCAACTGCAAAACTATATGGACAACGAAGAGACACAAACCCACCACAAAATGACAACTACAAACAACTAAAAAGAGGCAAAAATGAGCACATAGACATTAAAACAACCACAAAACAACACCAAAAAACACAAAATTCCCAAAAGGATACACAAAAAAGCACAAAATGGTACAAAATGACCACAAAGAAATGCAACACAATCACAAAGAGACACAAAATAAGAAGATAGAAAATGACCACAAAAAGATTCAAAACCACACTAAAGAGACACAAAATTACCAGTAAAAGATGCTAAACCACCTCAAAGGCACTAAATATATATATAGAAGAACATAAAGATATATAAACAACCGCAATGAGATAAAATGACCACAAATAGACAGAAATGACCTTAAAATGGCCATAAAGGGACACAAAACCTCAATAAATAGATGCAAAACCAACTTAAAGAGACCCAAAACATTAAAAAAAAGACGTAAAACCACCACAAAGAGACGCAAAATGACCAAACAAACAAAAAAGAGAGACAAAACCGCCACAAGTAGACCCAAAATTGTGGTGCGATGCAAATGACTATAAAAGAGGCATTACACAGACACAAACTGGAAAGAGATGTAAAACCACCACAGAGAGATAAAAAAACTACGACAAGTAAACACAAAGTCGTGGTGACACATAGCAGATTACAAACTAAATCCAAAGTTGAAAGAAACAGATCCTGGTTGTGTGGAAGCCTCACGGACACATCTTTATGTGTTATTCTATTAAAAACTCTAAATTGCATTTCAGACACACACTGCTCTCACCAGAGAGTCCTCGATGGTGTAGTTGAACATGGTCTTGGCGTCTTTCTTCAGATTGGAGACAAACTGCTGATACTCGGGGTTCTGAGGCTCTCGGTACGTCAGGATCTTCACGCTCTGACGACAGAAGGACAGCAGGACATGAATGTTAAACAGTAAACAGGTGGTTGAAATACAACATTTGTGTCTGAAGCAGAACCCAGCAGCAGAAACTCTGTGGATGAAAACAACTAAAAGGACACAGAACGGTCTCTTAGAGTTTGTAGAGGCTTTAAAAATAGTACAGTGTTGCTCACTTAATGTCATACTGCTTAATAGAATATCCTGTTATTAATCATAAAATATCAAAGTCCTGAATCATTTCCTATATAACCTATACATCCATTATCCATTATCTATACACCACTTAATCCTCACTAGGGGGGGGCTGGAGTCTATCCCAGCTGACTTTGGGGCGAAGGCAGGGGACACCCTGGACAGGTCACCAGTCTATCACAGGGCTACACTTAGAGACAGACAACCAAGCACACTCACATTCACACCTACAGACAATTTTAGAATCATCAATTAACGTCAGCATGTTTTTGGACTGTGTGGGAGGAAGCTGGAGAACCCGGAGAGAACCCACGCTGCACGGGGAGAACATGCAAACTCCACACAGAAAGATTCTGGTGCCCCCACCGGGATGCGAACTGCTGTGAGGCAACAGTGCTACCAACTGCGCCACCTTGCAGCCCATACCCTATACAGTCATCCTCAAATTTATTCATAAATAAATAAATTCTACTGGACAAGTTAGAGCACTTTGCTGATGAGCAGTGGGCCAAAATCAAAATACCTGTCAACAGGTGCAGAAGTCTGATTGAGAGTTACAGAAAACACTTGATTGCAGTGATTGGCTCAAAGGGGTCCCATCATGCTTGTTGGCTTGTTTCTTTTTGTTTGGTTGGGTTTTTTTTTGTTTTTTTTAAAATATTTCTGCTGAACCACAAACCAAAAGCAATGTCATGATTTTCATTACATTTTTTTAATTATTACTGTTGTCAATTTCAACTGACAGCTGTTTTTTTCCTTCTTTAATGGGAGGGTATGAATACATTTGAGGACGACTGTAGTAAAACGGATATAGTCATAACTCCATCCTGGACCGAGGGTATGAAAATAAATGGGCAGCACTGCAAATATCTATAATATATAGAGCCTCCATTTTTCAGCGTTGGTAACACCTGTGGACATGCTGATTCCAGGTTTCCAGAAAGAAATCAAAATTTTATGATAGATTCATAGCTGATTATTGAAAGTCGTCCTTAAAAACTGCTCAAAAAGACTTGAAACTGTCAGAAATGCAAAAAAAATAAATAAAAATAAAATCCAAAATGATAATAAACTTGTTAGAAATAACAAAAAAAAGCCCCAAAATGACACCTTAACAAAATGGCAATATTATACAAATCTCCTCGAAACTTGTCCAAAATACTTCAAAAATATCCAAGATGGCTCAAAAGTTGCCTAAAATAATTGGAATGTGTCCAAAATGACTCAAAAAGTGTCAGAAAGGTGATGAGGTGCAGTCAGACCATTCTGCAGCTCTTAGGACCAGCTCTAGTCTGATTGGTTTAAAGAAATACAAACAAACCTGAGCAATTTTAACTGCATAGCAAAATGAGGTGCAGTCAGACCATTCTACATGTCTGTGGAGAATGTATTTCTTTACTCCAAACCAATCAAACTGGAGCATCTTTCCACCCTGTAGCAGAATGAGGTGCAGTCAGATCAGTCTGCAGCTCTGTGAAGAGTCATTTGATTTAAAGAAATACATTTAAACCTGAGCATTTTTTTAAGCCTACAGTAAAATGATGATGAGGTGCAGTCAGACGATTTTACAGCTCTGTGGAGCTCTGGATATGTGATTCTGAGTCTGTACCTGAAAGGCCTCCTTGGCGATGGCGTCCTCCTCGTCCCCGCGGGCCCACGGCTGCTGGTTTTTGGAATTGAGGCTTTCAGCAAACACATCGATGTAGAAGAAGACATACTGCTCATGAGGAAGGTTTGCTCGCCGGAACTGAATCATCAGCTTCCTGAAGACGTCGGGGGAGCAGCAGACGAACATCACTGTGGAGACGAGAGACAGGACGAGGTTTCAGTCAGGAAACTAGAGAACTCATTAGTGATAAAGTTAGTGACCCAGGACATGTGGTGACGGCAGGATAGAAGACAGGACTGCAACTATTAATCAGTTAGTCATCAAATATTAATTTAATCTTCAAATATATAACAATTTGAATGAAACTTTAATAAAACTGTATAAATTCAGTGAACACAGCTTCTTAAATGTGAATATTTTCTGGTTTCTTTCCTCCTCCGTGGGAGAAAACTGAATAACTTTGGACGAAATGAGACATTTGAGGATCCAGATTTTCAGCATTTTCTGACATTTCAGAGCCCAACAGCTGAACGATTCATCCAGGAAGTAATCAACAATGAAAATCCTTAGTTGCAGTCTTATTACTGAATGTCAACAAACATTTTTTCAATAAATCTGTCAAATAAAAGACAATAAAACTTGCTGTGCAGAAGGTCACAGCTTGATATGCTTTGTTTTGACGAACCAAAAGTAAAAAAAAAAACAAAAAACTATTCAGCAATATTCAGTTTAGAGTGAAGAAAGTGACATACAAAAGCAACATGCTAAATTTAGGGGTTTTTTTGTTGTTGTTGGGTTTTTTTTTTGCAATTTTTGTTTGAAAAATGACAGAGGATTGATTACTAATGTGCACAAACACACTTCTTTAAAATGATAACAGAAAAGTTGCAGCTGAATAATTCTGTTTTGGACTGAATAGAGGGAACAATAGATTTTTTTTTGTTTTGTTTGTTTTGTTTTTAATAAAAACTAAATTCAGTGATTGCATCTTCCAAAATGTGAATGTTTTCTGGCTTTCCTCCTCCTCTGTGATGGTAAACTAAATATGTCTGGACAAAAGAAGACATCTGAGGAAACACTGATGCAGATTTTTTAGTTTTATTGTTTAACCATTTTCTGACACCAGACCAAACAGCTGATTAGTTCTTCCAGAAAATAATAGAAATGATGGTTGGTTGCAGCCCCCATTTTCACAATCATATCTAAATAGTCTAAATCTAAATGTCTTGACTTCGCTTTCAACTAAATACCTGCAGAGAAACAAAACAACTGCAATTAGACTGAAAAACTAAGAAAAGCACAAAAAACACAAAAACAGTCCAAAGAAATACGACACGGAGACACAAAATTAGCAAAAAAGAAACTGAAATGAGCAAAACTGACAACAAAGAAACACATAAAACACAAAAACAGATGTAAAGAAGACAAAACAACCACAAACTGACAACAAAAATACAGGACAAACTCCTGTCTTTGTCTTTGTCAGATGGACAGCAGAAGACTGTTCAAGATGAGCAGATTGAGGCAGCTGCTGCTAAACTGGGTCATATGTATGAAGGAGACAAGGTGTGAAACAATGATTCAGCCAAGAAACACAGTTTCAAAGTGTAAACACTAAAGTGTCAGCGTAGTCACACTGTGAGACGAAGCTGCTTTCACTCTTGTTCTCGCTGTGCTCTTCTGCAGAAAGCAATAATCAATACGACGTCTTAGACAGCTGGAGGCGAAATTAGTCCGTCAGGGCGACTTCTGTGGATTCATCAGAGTTTTGGTGTCTGTGGGTCGACCGAGAAAAATCTATCGAAGCTGCGAGGTGAAGCTCTGCAGTCGCTGATATGAAGACAGAATCAATACGTCCTGATGGACCGAGAACATGACACCTGGAGGCTTCTTCTGCAGAGTTCACCATACGTTTACATCCGTCATGAGCTTTACAGGTTCATATGTACGTCAGGATTAATACGGGCTAATTTTGAGTCATTTTGGACAATTTTTCAGTTACTTTGGCTTTTTTTTTTAAAACTTTGAATACTTTTGGACAAGTTTAGGTCATGTATGGCAATTCTTAAATCATTTTGGACAACTTTCAAGTAATTTTTATGTCTTAAATTTACACAAAAAGTCTGGTTGTTTCGGACACGTTTAGGTCACTTTTGACTTTTTTCTATATCATTTTTACACATTTTAATTAATTTTGCCAGAACTGAACTCACTTCGAGCACATTTTGAGTGAAACGGGACATTTTTATAGACAGTTATAATATCTTACCCTAGCATGTTTAAACATGATTTAGATTAAGCTAAATGTTTTCAAGAAACTATTTGTTTTGGACAATCTTACATTATTTTTGACATTTTTTCGCAATTTTCAAGACATTTAAAATCATTTGACAAGTTCGAGTCATTTTGAGTCAGTTTGAGCAATTTTGAGTTGTTTGGACAAACGTAGGTAAGTTCTGACACTTTTTAATTCATTTTTTAAAGATATTGAGGACAAGTTTGTGTCATCCTGGATGATGTTTGACAACCAACCATCAGACCGAGACGTCCGTCCTCATGGAGATCCCTAACGTAGACGGATCAATGTCAGACCTTAATGAGTCCAAACTGTCCAGCTGGACTTTGATATGAAGACACTCAAAGATGTTTTGGTGTTTGAGGTGAGCAGATCGTCTCAGTTGTTACAGAAGCTTCCCTCTGGATGCCCACAATTTCTTGGCGTCCTCCCAGATCCAGTCTCAGGAAGTCTCCAGAGGCGTGATGACATTCCTCTTCTATTGTTTCGGGCTCTAATAACCTCTGAGTAGGAAGCTGGCGGTGAAACCACGCTGGGCTAAAAGCCTTCTTCCGATTGATAGCGAGCTCAGAAATCCCTCGCCGCCACAAAGCAGAGTCACTGTCTGCTGAAACCAGATCGCTGCACTTTGACTGTTTTATTCTCTGCACTAAAAATACTCTTCTATAAATACTCCCTCTACAGTTTCTACCTTCTGTCCTCTGCAGCTTTATTGTCTTTATTAAACTGTATTCGTGCAGAGCAGGTTTGCCTCTGTTTATATTTACACTGCCAGGATTATTTTAAATATGCACTCTGCTACAGTTACGCCAATGGAGTCAGATCAAGTCGAGTCCGGTTGAGTTGAATGAAGTCCAGGGGAGTCAGGTCGAGTCATATCAAGTCAGGCAACTGTCAAGTCAGGTAGAGTTAAGTCAGAACAGTTCAAGTTGAGTTGAATCCAGTGGAGTCCATTGGAATGAGATTGAGTTGAGTCAGGTCAAGTCAGATGGAGGTGGACAGACACGTAACGATCTGATATTACACCTCCAGTTCTGGATGCTAAAATGTCTGATCACAGTGGTTCAATCATTCACTCCTGTTGTTTCAAGGCTTCTTTTCACATCCTTAGAATATCAGAATATTTTCTCATTTAATCAGTAACTAAACAACTAATTTTCAGTTCTGTGTTAGTTATAATTAAACGTATTCCCCAAACCTTGTCGACTGTGCTGTTATGTAATGCAGCCGGGATGAACACCCCAGAGTCGGGTCAACTCTCCATTAGAGGTCAGAGAGCAGACACCAGAACCAGGAAGAGACTCAGAGTCCCAACTCAGAAAACACAGTGACCTCTGACCTCTGCATGCATCCGGACTCACGGATGTGCTGAGATGAAAGACGGCAGCTTCCACTCAACGCTGCACTTTCCACTTCCAGCCTGAGAGCTGAAGATGAAAGGATTCGGCAACTTCAGAGCTGAACTCGAAAACCTGAACAGTGGGATTATCACAGTGTGTCTCTGCTGCTTCTCTGATTTCACCTGAATCCAGCACACTGTGTAAAAAGTAAAACCTGAATCCAGCTCATCACGTAGAAATCAAACCAGAATCAAGTTTGTCATGTAGAAATCCAATCCAGAATTTAACAAATGACAAAAGTATGTCAAAAAACATAAACAACAAAATGTAATACAAATAACTACAAAAAGATGTAAAATAGCCAAAATTAAATGTAAATGACCACAAAAAATGAAATGCAAATGACCAATTAACACACGTAAAACAATCAAAATGTGACACGAGGCGGCCAAAATTAAATTCAAATGAACATAAAAATGAGCAAAATGACCAACGTTTAATCCAAATGGCTGCAAAAATATGTAAAATGAACTTTGATCCAAATCAAAACAAAAAGAGATGAAACAAACCCAAATGTAATGCAAAAAACCTAATTTAATTTCAAAAGAACATAAAAAGGTGTAAAACAACCAAAATATGATGCAGAATAACCTAAATTAAATGCAAATGATCATAGAAATATGTAAAATATGTAAGCAATATGTAAATTTGAAGCAAAATGACCAAAAGTGAATGCAAATGGCAGCAAAAACATGCTAAGTGAGCAAATGTGACACAAAACAACCAAGATATGATGGAAAATGACCTAAATTCAGTGCAAATGACCCTAAAAATAAATAGAATGGCCAACGTTAAATCCCAATGACCACAAAAATGTTAAAAAAAAATAACCAAAATTAAAACCAAATGATGACAAAAATAAGTTTAAAAAAAACAATAATAATAATAATAATAATCAAGACTAAAACTGAATGACCACAAAAATACGTGACACAACCAAAATGTGACACAAAGCAACCAAAATATGATGGAAAATAACCAGCTTAAATTCAAATGACCACAAAAATGTGTAAAATGACCAAAATGTGACACCAACCAACAGCAAAAACACCTCAAACCAAAAGTGACCAACAAAGGTCAGGAGAAAGGTCAGTGCTTTAACCTTTCACTCTCTCAGGATTTATTGTGCCTGATATAAATGAGCGGCGGCTGTTTAAAGCTCTAATGAGACGCTGTGATCTTTCACCGGGCGTCAGCATCATTAAGGCTGCACAGTCAAATGTCAGGCGGCTCCATGTGAGGAGCACCAATCGTAAGCATCACGTGGTGAAGCACCGACTGCTGAGGTGCCCTTCAGCAAAACATTCCTTTTAAACCAGTTGTGTTTGTAGAAAGACTCCCACAAATAATGTCTACACACAGATTGTTTTATGTTTTTCCAAATTAACAGCACGATAATTATGTTCCGTAAATGTTCACAGCTTCCCAACCGGCCGCCCACGTTTCATGTAGCTGCTACATCTGCTGCAGCGCTGAAGCCAAAGAAACACTC